GCTAGATCTTCCTGGGAAATAGCCTCTTCTTCTCCCACAACTTGTATGGAATCATCCTTTTCCTCCGTCGCGTCTAGTAATTTGAAAGTCCCTGTTTTACATCGGTGTCCAGGACTGTACTTGTCACCACATCGAAAACATTCGCCCCTTAGGAAGCGTGCCTGTTTCTCAGTATCAGAAATGCGTAAAGGAGGATTCTTTTGAGGAACAGGTGGAGGATTATTGGGAGGATTTGGTTGTGAGGGAGTTTTGAAACTGCCACCAGAAGCAGCTCCTCTTCCTGAACGAGAATATCCAATCTTAGATTCAAATTCAAGGGCTAGACTCATCGCATTGTACACCGTCCTAGGCTTATGAATCCTGACATCCGCCTTTAACTCCTCCCTGAGTCCATTCAGAAAGACCCCCAGCAGGCAGTTATCCGGCCAATTGGAAACGCGAGCAGATCGTTTGGCGAATTCCTGTCTGTATTCTTGGACGGATCCGGTCTGCTTGATACTGCACAAGTACTCCGGGTTGTTGGTGCCATTCGATTTCCCGGCAATGGAACCAAATGATAAAGCTTGAGCTTGATTGAATTTAGAATTAAAAAAGGTACATCAAGTCCCAATTCGAGAAGGGATAGTCTCCAGATTCTCAAAGGAAAATACAATAAAAGATAATCACATAAGAAAATAACATGACACTAAGTAATAAACCCACTCCCAGGGGAGTTGGTAACTGCCACGTAACCCACCCACTCAGCCACTTAGTGGGTTGTTTGAAATGCCCATTAACATTTTGAGCTGCTCCACTTCTGCCGGCCCACCCTTTGCCATCTTCTTTTTCCTTCTTGAATATACCAATCTGTTTGGAGGCTTATCATAAACTCAGTCAAACTTAAGCCCTCTTTTTACGCCTCTGATAAGTCCTGATTGGTTTGGGATTTGTATCAATCACCTTCGGCCTTGTCCTTGTCGTTGATCGTCTTTATGAGATTTATATCACATTTTGATGAAAGCGAATGAAATTATGCAAAGTACATGTTGCAATTACATAAGAATTATTTTAACATTTGAGTATTATATTTTAAGAAACAAAAAAATTGAATTTTTTAGGTTTTTAGAGGTAAACATATTTAGTCAATATTAGAGAAAGAGTGAAAAGTTTAAAGAAGTAGAATAAAATGTGGTGGCATATCCACTTTGAAAGTACTCCATATCCTTATTTATTGCATCCTTAAAGTTGTGTATTGCGTGTTCCAATAAATAATAGTCAATGAAAATTTGTTATGATGATTACCAATAGTAAATACACAAGTTCTGACATCATTGATAAATGATGTCTCATGATTTTGTTTTCTATCAAGATTTGACATTTTTAGGTACGGAAGGAGTATTTCACAAACATTAATAAGGTGCAGACATACTTAAATGAGCATATGCCCTTTTTCCTTATCTTTGAATTGAATTTCAATTAGCAATGAACAACCTAGAGAAGTCGATTTAGATTTTTCAGCCAGCTTACAACAACCAACCCAGTAAAATCCCATGAATGTGGAAGTGATACCAACTAAAAAAAGAAATCAACAGCTCAAATCCATAGAGGTCAGGGTTCGTATGAATTCTTTAATGGGTTTTAGGTTCAATTGATGCTTTATTTGCATTTTTTTCCCGTTGGACAATACATGCTAATTTATTCTACCAATATTAGATGCAACACATTCAATCACACATACTCGATCACAACACCTTATGAGTAGAAGGTAGCATGCAAGCCATTGGGGGCCAGCAATCCTTCTCTGGTCCCAAAGCACCAAACTCTGCTCTGCTTACAATAGCCTGTTTAGGATTTAGAAGCAAAGAGATTATGTTTGTCTAAACACCAATATATAAAAAAAAAAGATCATCTATGCAAAGAATATTTTCGGTATTAGGGTTTAGACAGTTATGTAACCATAATAACCTTTGCATAAGGATCTAAAAGTATCTTGGTGGAATCAAAGTAATGCCCTTCTTCCGGAGCAAACTTGCCATCAAGGCTGTAGGCATAGAGCATGTTATCAAAGTTTCGCTTAAGGAATACATGCCAGACATCTCCAGTCTTGTTGACAGTGGGATCTAAAGGAATCTCCTCTGTCACTTTTCCCTGCCCAGATAAATAAACAATTGTTACGACAGAAGTAGATCAAGAACGAAACATAATTTGAAACACAAGTCTACTAATTTGAAGTATATCTAAGCTTCATGCAAATCCAATGGCAAGATTCATTTTGTTCTTGCAACTCTGACTCCTCTTGCTTAAATCAAGTTATATTCCATACAGTAAAACCCGCATTCCTTGACTTCCTTTGCTCAAAAGTTGTATCCTTTCCTTGAAGAAAAGTATCATTTTATCCTTTAAAAAAAAACCAACCAAACACACCTAGTATGTCCCGAACTACAGCCCACTATAACCCTGGAGCCAAGGCAAGTTAACCTCAATAAGCCAACTTGAACCTTTCATTTTTAAATCACAAACTATTCTCTGACAAAGCCTCTTAATTAGTCCTTTCCCCTTGCTTGCTTTGGGGATCAAACCCGGGTGAGGAGCCCTATGTTGGTCTTCTATCCACTTGGTAGAGGAAGCTTGCTTATATACAACAACAAAAATCCAGTTGGATCCAACGAGGGTAGGGTCTGGAGAGGGTGTGTGTACGCACACCTTGCCCCTACTCGAAAGTAGAGTGTTTCTAAGACGAAGCTTGCTTATATATATATATATATATATATATATATATATATATATATATATATATATATATATATATATACACACACATACATACATATATATAAATCATTTATTTATATAAATTTATATACACTCCATCCATCTTATAAGTATAGTCATCAATGGAAAACAAGGAGATTAAGGAAAATTTGATATGATATGGTTGATGTAGAAGAAAAAGTGTAAAAGTGAATGAAAAAGGTATAGAGGAGTATGTTGGAATAAGAGGGAGTATCAAGTGATTGAAAAGGAACGGTAGGTTATGTTAAAAAAAGAAAGTATTACATTACTTTAGGGACACCCGATTTGGAATGTTTGACATTACAACCATTACTAATGGGACGGATGGGAGTATATCTATGTGTGTACACACACACAAATATATATATACACACACACACACACATATATATATATATGATCAAATAAGTAGGGATGAGTGTGTGTGTGTGTGTGTGTTTTGGATCTAATGAGAATGAGATCTAATGAAAGAAATGAGAACACATGTGGTGCATTAGAGTGTAATATCTAAAGGCCATAAAAATTAGAAAAATAAGTAAAAATCCAGAAAAATGTGGTGGCATTTTAGTAAATAAGTCAAACTTTTATGCCACTACAAAAATACAGTGTCATAGTGTAAATGTGCATCGTGATGGACGAAACATGCACCATTCTCATTTGTCACGTTAAGAGCATTCTCACCTGATTTGCACCTTACACACACACACACACACATAAGAAATAAGGTTCTGTACACTTTGTTAAAATGCACTTTTCCCGTCAAAATAAATTGTACCCTGCGCATAGAGATATGCACTCTGGACATTTAGGACTTCTTTGTCCTCAAATTGTAAACAGTGTCTTTACACTACATCCATAGCAAATTACTTCGTAGTAATTAATCATAATGATGGTGCATCCTGGTGGAGTTCAATGATCAGCCCCTTAGTGATAAACAAGGGATGATCTTCCATCGACAACGACACTGACACAGGGGGTCGATGCTCTAATACGATCTGTTATACATTTGTTATAGCCAACTGATGTGGCAATGGTAGTTAGTTGGTTAGAGAAGTTAGTTTGGGTTGTTAGATGTGAGGCAAAGTACTATTCAATTGTATAAAAGTAATGGTCTTGTACAAGAAGCTCATAATAAGAAAACAAACAAAATTCTTTCTCTCTCTATTCTTCTTCGTCTCTTTCCCCTCATTTCTATTTATCTCTCGGTAACAATTCTCTCATCTTCCATTGTTGATAATCAAGATTCTGATTAATATACAATATACAGAGTATATTTTATTTAATTATAGGTCAAAGGTTGAAAATAGTTGGTTGAAAATAGTCAAAACTGGACAAATATTCAAAGGAGGCAAAGGTTCTATTTTGAAAATATTTTACAAGATAAATCTAATAGAATTCTTTTTGTATCAAGATCTAATATAAATTTTATATAATTAATGGTCAAAATTTATCAATTTTGATTGTAAAAAATCAAAAATGAACAAATTCTCTAGGTGGAGGTTATCTATGTAAAATGTGTAAAACCTTATTTATTAAGATTGAGCTTGGACAAATATGTAAAATTAATTTATTAAATTAAAATTGAACATATGTTTGTCATGCTTTACATTTCTGTGATTCTAACTTTTTTCTGTGCATTTTTCAAGTTCCAAACGAAACATAAATTGAAAAATACAGCAGAACATTCAGAAACACTCGCCTGGGGCAAGTCTGCGAGACTGATCAAGCACAGAGATGCTGACGTGGCATTGCTTGAAAAGACAGCGAAATTGATCCCGCCGTCTCTAGTAGTGGCACCGAATGGAGTCGGATGGCCGGCCAAAAGCTCGTAAGGGCGACGAAATTCGTACGGCAATGGTTTCTCCACCACCACGGCAGTTTCCGACTCATCTCCGCCACCAATGGCCGAGACCAATACAGGCTTCGCCTTGCTTCTAAGTTCGGAAAAGTAACAGTGCGAATTCCTGAAAGTAAATCCAATTTTTTCGATGTTGGGGCATCTGGATGGGAATTTCGGGGTGTTGGCCAAGAATGAAGGGCAGCGGAGCAACTCCATTTTGGAACTGGGGATGGTATGTGTGGCGCCTTCAATGATGAGTTTCTATTAGATTTTGACAGCATATTAGGACTTGTTTGGTTATATAAAATCAAGAAAAGTACAAAACTTTAAAATTTCATAATTCACACTGACATAATGTGTTAGTGCGATCAAAAGATTTTACACTAATATTTTATGTAGGAGTGGGCATTCGGGTCCAGGAACCGCGGGTCGGAACCGAACCGCCAGGTTCGGGCCGAGTTAGGTCCGGGTCGTCTTTTCAAAAATTTAAAACGGTCCGAGTCGGTCCGGTTCGTATATATTTTAGGATCGGTCCGATTCCTCATTTTGAAATTGTTTGGGACCCGGACCGGACCGTTTTTTAAATACTAATATTATTTTTAATATTTTTTGAGTAAATATACGGTATATCTGCCTATTCCAATTAATTTTAGTAACTCTTTCGGTCCTTCCATATTCCAATCACAGTGCAGAACCGGTCTTCACGTATTCAGTACAAGTTATTTACTTCGATTAAAGGTGACTTAATCTTTTTTTCACATAATAACTTAGTTTTCAGTAAACGTATAAAAACACACACCTTATACCAACTAAAATTTTAAAACAAAAAACCAGGTTTTTTGGATTTTTTGGAAGCCATGAAAATTGTCAATTTTGCTCTTTTTGAAACCTATTGACATTATAATGCCAAAATGTGGTTGTCTTCTTTTTGTTGTTGTTGTTGGATGATCATGGGGTGTACACTTTACTCTCATGCCCCTCTTTGTCATTGTTTTTTTTCATTTATTCCTCTTTTTTGAACTTTGAAGGCATTATTCTATAATTTCTATTTGTTTTGAAGAATGTTAGTATTATGACAGGTTCGGACCCGTTGACCCGTGGAATCGGCCCGTTTCAAACAAGCCGGGTTAGGTCCGGTTCCAATTTTAAAATTTTGAAAACCCGTTCCGACCCGGACCGTTTTAATAAAAACAAACCGAGTCCGGTTTATATAAATTTGGACTCGGACCGGCCCGTGCCCACCCCTAATTTTATGTTCATGTGAACAATCACCTTAGTATTACATTAACCCAAAATCAAGGTGTATATCTTTGATGTACAATTTGAGATACAAGTTTTAGAGCACACATAACTTAATTCTTGATACAAATATACTTCAATTCGTACTAATACAAGTATTGTCATACATTTTCAACTTGTAATATTTTAACCCTTTGAAAAATACTCGGTACACCTTCTTTCATCCATTAATTATTCTTCTCATTATCTACACCTCTCTGCATTGATTAAAAGAATAATTATTTTATTTTTTCCTGTATTATTCAAAATATACAAACATGGATTAGCCATCATTTGATAAAAAAATAATATAGAAAAACATTAAAATTAAAATGTTTTTGCTTTCTTTTTAATGATAAAATCATTCCATCTTATGAAAGTATTCAGTCAATACAAAACATTTTCTCCCCGCATTAATTTTCCTTATCATAATCCGTTTTTACGTAAATTTGTATCCATCTACCTACGTCTCTCAGAATTAGACGTAGACACGGTACTAGTCTTGTACAATTCTAATTCCAAAACCGTTGATTCCCAGTGCCAAAGGAGGGGATACCATATCCAGCACCGACAACCAGTTGTACGGTTTGGTTCCGATTCCCAGCTGGTTCCCAACCGATTCTTAGTACCGACTACTGGTTCTCAATTCCCAAAGTATTTAAAAGTTTTGTTATAAATGATTAATAAAAATAGAATTATGAAAGAATATTTTCATAAAAAGGTCTCTCTTCCATAATTAAATTTTATTATTGGTTTCATACTTTCATACCAAGTTATTAATTTCTTTAGATGTCTTGAATTAGATGTCAAAAGACATAACTGTGCATAATGGTTTTCAAGGGAATAAATTATTACTCCGTAGTACGTACTATCATCAAAATGCTGGAGCAAAGATTTCATAACTATTCAAATATACATTCAGGTTACCCTACTCAGGACGAGTGATAAGCTCATAAAACTGAAGATGGTTAGTTGGTTAAACTAGCACAAATGTTACATGAAATCCAAAAAGAAAAACTGTGCCTCCACATTCAAGAATGCATGAACAGATTGATACCTCGCAGTTAGACTAGAATTCTCATTACCAAATTTCCAAGAAAAGTGATAGCTACACGCCAAATTCACCACTTTTTCCATGACTGTTTGACCAAATATTAAAAGGTAAACTTACCCTCTATCTACTGAAAGCATTGAAAAAAACTAATGTTCTCACTTCTCATCCCATTAGAATAGCGGGTCGATCATTAAAGAAAAAACGGTTCGTTAAACCTCATTGAACTCAGCCTCCTTGGAATCCCTTCTATTTCCTCCGTATTAATTTTGGGGCATTGGTTAAGCAAACATAATGGCAATAGCTTTCTTAATTATCCCTTCATTGTCTGGTTCCTTCACTTAGAGATTTGGGGATTCGGATTGTCGCAGTGGATTGTCTGGTTCCCCTCTTTTTTTTCAAGAACTGGGAAACAGAAAAAATTCAAAGGAAGAGCACAATGAACCGATGGATGCTGAGATTTGAGTAGAGAGCTTTACGATGTGAAAAGTGAAGAAAATTCAGTTTGGAAGAAGAAAGGCAACCCCAAATACTCCGTTTGCATATGTCAATTGGAAAGAACACTATGGGCAGGCTACGACACAAATACACAATACAATCAAGGCATATCAGTGTAGATGGATCAATTGGAAAAGGCAAAATGGATGCTTTCTTACATTAACACACAAAAGGATAACAGATGTCTTTGAAAGCACCCACATTTGTTGATAACCTGCAATTAAAAAAACTTCATATGCAAGCTTAAGAACTGCCTGCCATTGATGTACGATATAACTTGAAAGCAAGAAAGTATGAACACACCAATGATCCGAACAAAAAACAATTCTAATTATTGAGTCGATATGATGTTCTTAAAAGCAGGAAGTATAAACAGGTTTTTAAGAAGTTGGCATCTCACTGAACCACATCAAAAAAACAAAGGACGAGATAAAAGTATCAGCTCTCAACATATGGCTAATAGAAACTGTGAAATCGACTAATGGAAAGTGAAGAAGAACAGGGCATAGTACTTCATTACTGCGGATGGATTGTTCAGACGGGAGAAAGGAGCTGCGAGAGAGAGGGTTTGGGCTCGGAGTTCATGCCGATGATGATGATTAAGGGGATGAAGCCGTAATGGGCTACGACTTTGGCCTTCTTCGCAGTCCACGTGCCCCACACCTTCACGAATTTGGACACCGCCGCCACCGCTCCTCCGTCTTCGTCCTCCGATGTCACTGCGATCTTCTTGGCGGCCTTCCCCTTTGGCTTCAGCATAATCTTGGAAGTCATCTCCGCCGTTCTTCCGCCCCTGCGTTTGCTTATCGCGCGGCCACACGACAGAATCAATCGCCTTGGATGTTTAGTTTTGGAGAAAGAGAGGAAGGAAACCCTATTATTGAGAGCCGCTTTCTCTGTTTTATCATTTGGACCCGATCACGCGTCGTCTCGTATTGGGCCTTCAAAGACGGAAAATAGTCACATATCCCCATACGGAAAATAATCCAGAAAATTACTCTAAGTTATCTTTGATTTTTTTATAATGCCTCACAGGTTTTACATTGTTTGAAATATACATCGAAGTATCTTCCATTTTTTAATAAAAACTCTCAGGTCCAACAATATCTAAAATGTAGTTCGGAATTCTTAAAATTTATGATATTATAATTTGAATGTACGTTTCGTCCATTTAAGCGTTATGATTAAAAATGTTTTTACTTTGAGAAACTGAAGTATTTTATTTAAATTTCTTTCCCGTTTTGACTTAGCACAAAGATTAAGAAAAGTTAAAAATGTAAAGAGTTTTGAAGTTTGTCCTTGATATGATGGAATATAATAAATAGTGTAGATGAAAAATTTTGGCCCGAACAAATGTTGATGGAAATGGAACGAGCATCCAAGGATTCTGCCAAGTCTAAGGTCGGTAACTCATTCATATCCAGCATTTACCTAGAAATTTTGGCCTAACCTAGACAAATGAAACACTAAAACACGTCTTCAAAGGTTCCCCGGTACAGTAATTCTGAATATTTGACCGGGTGAATAGTTTTGGTTCTCCTTGGTTCTATCCCGGGTAGGGCGGTAGACCATAACTTTGCCCGGGTAAACTTTATATTGTAAAAGATATTGAAGATCGAGATGGTCTGGTGTTCTCAGTCTGACCGGGCTCTTTTTTTCTTTGCGGGAAACTGGTATGTGGCTGGTGTACCCAATTCGATTGAGCTTAGACTTGTTGGAAAATATGTGCAAGCTCGGTGTGAGACCAGTGTACCAATTTGACTAGGTCGCATATTTCCATCATTTTTGTTTATACTGTGTAAGACCGGTGTGAGACAAGTGTACCATTTCAACTGTGTTGTAGCTTTTTAATATGTGCAAGACTAGTGTGAGACCAGCATACCCGGCCAAGTATGTGTAATGTACTTTGACCTTTTTCAAAAAAAATTATACTAAACAAGACTAGTGTAGTAATTAGCGTACCAGGCTGTGCCTTTGTGTTTGTCTTCCTTCCAGGCTTTTCGAAGGCTGATGGGTACTCGGCGTATCCAGTTTTACCGTTCAAATTGTCCACCTTTCTAGCTCCCATCCTCTAATTAGGTCAAGTAAGTTTTTATGATTTTCCCTTCCCACATAGCTCGAGCTATGCTTTGGAGACATCTACACTCTTTCCTATCGTGTGAATTCCTCTTGTGGTAAGTACCACACCTTTCTGTCCGAGACCATTCTTGACCTTTCATTTTTAGAGTTTAAATTTCATAGCACTTCTCACACCTAACCTCATTTATGATCGAGTTGTAATGTGGTCGAGGGTCACTCAAACTAGCTTGGTTGCCTCCATCACACTTTAGCTCGGGCTTAAGTTTTGAATAGGCCAACTTAGTTTCTTTCTTTACCCGATACTGATCCTCTGCTTCGTCATATTCCCATGCAATGTTGTAGGCCTCTTAGTAGGTGCTGTGAGGTCTCCTGAAAAATAATTTGTAGAGCTAATTGGCCCTAAGGCCACTCAGCAAGAGTGACAATGTCATCTTGTTGTCCATATGTTCTACCTTGTCGACTTCTTCCCTTTACCTCATCAAAAATTGGGTGAGGTTCTCCGACTCCCTCTGCTAAGGTATGTGAACTTCTTCCTCTTGGTATAGCTCTCTTGGAACTTGGCCCTGAACTTTGCGGCCAATTCATTGAAGGAATCAATCTCACATGAGGGGAGCTTATTGAACCACTCAAGTGCTCTTCCATGCAATGCGTGGAAGAATAGGAGGCACTCCTCCTCGTTCTTGCATCAAATCATTTTGGAATTTTTCATGGAAGGGGTTGAGGTGTCTCTCGTTATCTTCCTTGCCCGTGAACTTAAGCATCTCCAATTTTGCCTTTCGATGGAACGACGTATCGTGGCCTCTCACAATGAATGGTGAGTCCGCGAGCTACTACTTGTCTCTATCGTTCTTCTCATCGACCTTCCGTTCTGACCTCTCTAGTTTTGCCTCCACCTGCTCACCTGGTCAGGCATGTTCCTTAGCCTTGTGCGCACCGCACGGCTGGCTCTCCATTTCCTCTTCCCTACAAAATATGCGGGAGCGGGCCAGTCACCTTTTGTTTGACCGGGAACACTGGGAACGGGTAGGCTCGGCCTACCTTCTTCCGTTCAACCGGTCAAAGGCACTGACATTGGTCGCCCCAGGTCCAAACCTAGACTTGGTTGACTTCCTCTGATACTCTTCCCTTTCTCTCATAATGTCAAAGGCAGAATCCCTCGATGCTACCGGCCTCGGTGCCTTGCCTTTCTTCTTCTTGTGTGCTCGTGGTATGTCTCACTCCTCGCCCACACTCTCAACCGATATGCAACGACCATTTATGGTGCTTTGCGGGTGATGTGATGGTTTTGTTGTGTTCATTGCGCCTACCAGGTTGATGGGAGTCAACGCACTAATCACATGTGATTGGCAGGGAGATGGATATGGCATCGGGGACGGGGAAGGTGATAGATGGGTGAGGCATGGGTGTTTGCAAGGGCGCTTGCCTCGAGCTAGGTAGTTAGAAAGGGTAAATCCCTAAGATTAAAGGCCTTCCTCCCCCTGTTGATACATGGTCATGACCTGACCGAATCTTAGGATAGCCTTTAGGTTGGCAGGGTCATTGATAAATTGAGCCATGTTAGGTGGGAAGGTCACCATCAGGCTGGCCAAGGGTACAGGGAACATGAGCATCTGTCCGATAGATGGTGCTATGATCGAAGGTTTCATGACCTGGCTAATCCCTAAGGGGATCACCGAAGTAGAGAGAGCTTAGGAGGTGACGGTTGATACTAAAAACATGCCCGAACTCAAGTTTGACTAGGAGGACTGTAAGTGAGAACACATGTAGTTTGATTATTATTAAAATATGGGAGTATTACAGGGCTTGTGTTGCACAATACCAAATTTAGAGAGAGGAAAATCAGATCTTTTTTCATTGAGGGCTACAAGCCTATATATAGTAAAGCTAGGAGACAGGTGGCAGCACCCACGCCTGTCCCCATTTGGCGCGTAGCGTTTGGGAGGATATTTTGGGATAAGCTCATTGGTGCAGAGACCTTGGTCGACCATGTCATCTCCTTTCAATCATGCCAGATCTTTATTATGTTAGTACACCAAGTCCCTAAAATTCACCTGGGTAGTTTTTTGAAGGGATGTCTTGATCACTCAAAAATCATTTCGGTCGCGCTATGCTATTTGATCGGTCATCCACAAAACACCCGAGTAAAATGCGGGTAAATATGATTGAATTATTGCATTAAGTTTGTTCTTGTCGTACAAGGTTGGAATCTACCCGAGTAGATTTTGGTCCAAAGTTACCCGCGTGACCTCGCGAAGGTGGGCGTCTAGTCTACTAATGACCTATCAGTCCATATCGTGCTTTCCACTCGGTCATGTATGCTGCATCCGGGTAGTCTTCAAGACACTCCGACCAAGTCACTACACTATGCTCTCCCTGCTACTGCAATGTCGGGTAGGCGTGCATGGGACCCAACATCGTAAGGTTACCTTTGCACGGCTAGGCGTTGCCTGACACCAAATACTCACTCTTAAGTTTGAAATTCACAAGATCGGGATTTACACCCGGGTGAACTTCGAAGGTTGGGCTAGCGTGGTCATGGAAATCACACCCGTCTGGTAAGCTCCATGATACTTTGATCGGGCCAACTTCTCGTGCCGATCTAGATATTCACCCGAGTGAGTTTCTAGTAGACCGGACCCGGGTCACAATCAAGGTGTAAATACACCGATTAGTATATACGGAGTATATTGGTTAGAAAATTTTGGTATGAGAAATTACCTCTTACCGTCACAAATACAGAGTATTTCACTTTGGTTTTTTAAGATATTTCTCTAGTTCAGCTTTTTTCGATTAGGTTTTGTGAATGTTTAGGGATCTACTTGGTACTTCTCACCCCTGGATCTGAGCTCTGGGGTCAGTAGACTAGTAGAGTGTAATCCACAAAATCCTAGTCCTATCTTTCCCAACAATTTTCTCCAGATTCTCTCTCCTTTCTCTTCTAGCAACTCCCTTCTCTTACTACACCGTACCGATCGTTACTGAAGACCAGAGAAAAATGGGCGGAGGAATGGAAACTAACAAGAATAAGTGGATCGAGGAATGGTCATCCGCGAGGGAGAATTTGGAGCACAACTTCAGGTGGACGAGGCGTAACTTTGCCCTTGTTGGCCTCTTTGGAATCGCCTTGCCTATCTTCGTCTACAAGGGAATCGTCAAAGAATTCGTAAGTCCTCTTTTCATGGCGTGTATGAAATATTTTGGATCTGTTTCTTCTAAACCATATCTATTGTTGATCTTCATTTCCACTTGGTATTGGAAAAACTTCCCTATGCTTGTTTTATTCTATCACAACTCGGGGCTGTAGGAGAAAAGAAATGCCAGATAGTGAGGCGAGGAAGAAGGAAACACAGGGGAGAGAAAGTGAAGGAAATTAGAGAGAATATAAGGCTTTGCTAAGAAATATACAAGTTTAAGGCTGTAAATCCGGAAACATATTCATCTGATTCTTAATGGCACCCAATTGCTATTCTGTTAATTCTAGCTACACCTTGAATGGTCTTCAACTAGAAAAAATCAGCAACTCAGCAATGTAGTTTGATTTTGCTGCATAATTTCCTTGATTTGTTTCCTTCATTTAGATGTTCCAGTTCTCCTCAGTTCCGTGAAGTCCCTTGTGCTCTTTATGATTTTCACCCAGGTCAAATGGAAATGTGATGCCACGCGGAACATGAACTCCAAATGCTGCATTCTTGTAGCACTTTATCAAGAAAACTGAAACATGTCTACTTTAGCCCTCTTGAATCTGACCCATTTTACTAAAGCACAGAAAGATGCAGGGCGATCAACAATAACCTACTCCCTCCGTCCAAGTTGAAACTTCCCGTTTTGACTTGGCACGGGTTTTAATGTGAAGTGAAAAAAGTGAAAAGAGAGGACTTTCCTCTTCTACCCTTCACTTTTCTCCTTATTCACGTGTTCCAAGTACCATCCACCCCACCCCACCCTTCTTCTTCTCTTCCATTTCTTCCATTCTCCTGCTTTCTTCTTTTCCTTTTCTTCCGTTCTGCGTTCTTCTTCTTCCTTTCTTCTTCCACTTTCTTCTTCTTCTTCTTCTTCTTCTTCTTCTTCTTTTCACACCTCACTTCTCTTTTTTCTTCTTCTACCTTCGTTGGTGTCTACAGACCAACCCCCACCTCTCTCATTATTTTTTCTTTAACCTCAATAAGATCTAAATGAAAAAATTTGAATCTAACTTCTTGCCATAAAAGCAATCAAAATATAGATTTCAAATCTATATTTTGAAAAGAAATTAAAAATCAAATATCGGTTTCAAATTTAGGAATTAAAGAAATTAAAAAATCAAACCTAGATTCAAATCTAGGAATTGAAGAATCTAAAAAAATCACATTTAGGATTCAAAAATTAAGAAATCGGAAGAAAAAAAAGAAAGAATATGAGGGAAATGGTCTGAGTGTCGGACGCAGCACTGCAGAAGGAGGAGTGGAGGAGATACGAGGTCGAGGAAGAAGAATAGAAGAAGGAGAAGAAGAGGAAGGTGATTAGAAGAAGACTAAGTAGAGCAAGAAGAAGAAGAAAGAGAGAATGGGTATGGGGTGGTCTGACAAAAACAATGCACAAAGGAAAACGAAATACTGGTAGGAAATTAGGATGAGGGAGAGAGAAAGAGTAAAGGATGGGTAAATGGGTAACTTTAAATGTATTTTATTTCTATTTTAGGAAATGGGAAGAATCAAGTGGGATAGCCCGAAAAGGAAAGGGAGAAGAAAGATATGGGACGGAGGGAGTAAAAGTTAGTTTACACTTTAGAGAAGGCGAATAAGATGTAATAAAAATTATTGCAGCATCATCAATGACAAATACCGCCTAATCCTAATTCTATTAGGGTTTGCAGGGTTAAGATGTATTCAACCTTACCCCATAGAACATAGACTATTTATGTCATACCTAGGATGCATTGTGGCATTTAGTTCCCAAAACTTCATAGAAAGTAAAAAGCAAGTTTATTGTGCCTTTTTTAATTAGTCCATTTGTGAATTTAAAAAAATATTTGTGCCTTTGGTGTTACTTTGAAACTCAGCTTGTTTGTATATTAGTAAATGCAACAATATAAAGTTATAAAGAAAATAAACTAAATGCACTATGATACTCAGTTCAAATAATCCCTACACTAGTATCAAAAGGCTTCTTTTTTAGGATATAGGAATCCAGTACATGTTTTGGTTTGTTCGAGCACTAGGGGCGATATGCCAGTTTTAACAAAACAAGCAACCATTGCTGATAGGACTTCAAAAATCTAATAACCATTCTCAACCGCTTCGGTGGAGGATTTTACAATTGCTCTCCCCATCTACTTATAATCAAGGAAGCCATCTATTTAATGCCAAGGACAAGATCAAGGCCTCTTAGTGTGAATGGCAAATAATCTTGTTTGATAACTAGGTCCAAAAGTTTTACCACCAAACCTGGGAAAACTCGATTACATTTAACCACCCTCTCATTTCTTGTTTGAACATAAAATGAGGTTGTTATACGAGTAGGGACTCCCAATTCAAAAACTTATGCTTCTGACTTTCTGAGATGAAATTGTGGGTAGCCTCTCTGTCTACCAATATCAGAATTTCATGACCCAATATGGATCTTTTGAGTTTAACTTTTCCCAGAGTTAGCCTTACCTACCATTCCGTTGAATACTTCATCGACTTCACTTCCATCACTTATGATGTTGTCTCTACCTTCTGAGGGTAGAATGATTCCATCACCTTCTTCCATAAGACAGAGAAGAGAAAAAGATGATGCATAACGATGGTCAGGCTTTAAGACTTTGCCACAACGAAAGCACAAACCTTTGTCTCCTAGTCGTTGGCGTTCAGATTCTGTGAAAGAGGGATGGAACGAGTTTATTGAAGGGTACTGGTTCGCTAGCATGTTTGCATAAGTCGAGATTGTGTCACACACGAGAGGATTTAGGGAACTAGTGGAATTAGATCCATTTTGGAGCTGAGGAATTTTGAGTTAGGCCCAACCGCCCAACTGTTCTCAAACCCTGAGGCAAAATTGGCAGCTTTGTGGACAGTTCTAGGCTTTTAGATGTGCACGTCAGAATGCAAATTCTTTCTTGAGTCCGTTCAAAAATATGCCCAAGTAGACAGTGATTTGGCCGTTGCTCTGCTGGAGCAGACCTTATTTGTGAATTCCTGCCTGTATTTTTGAAGCGAACCATTTTTCTTGATGATGCAAAGGCATTCATTTAGGTTATGGTATTTTGGAGGTCCATAATGTTTTTGCAATACCTTCACCAATTCGTTCCAGTAAAGCATCGTTAGCTCAAAATCCATCTGAGGGAACAAATCCAGGGTGTCACCTTCAAGATAAATGGAGGCTACAATGACCTTGTCATCTCCAGGGGTTCCGTAATAGAAAGTATAACCTCGGGGATCTCCACCACCAAAAGAGCTTAAAGAGTCATCATTGACATTGTTTTAGTTTTGGACACATGATAGATGAAATAAAAAGGCACATTAAACTTCCCTTGCTTCTTACTTTGCATTAGACCTGGCAAAACAGACTTGGAACTGACTATGCAAACCGGATAACCCAAAACCGAACCCAAAATGACCCTAAAAAGGAATACTCAATCTATAACCAAAACTCAAGATGACCCAAACCAAACAATAACTAAATAATTGAGTCAAATCTGAATTAAACTCAAAATCGATTAGACCCGAATCGATAAGGCACGGACCGATCGGACCCAAAACCGATTACACCCAAAATGGGTCAAACCCAAAAGTGGGTCATGATTCATTAGTTATAAAAATGAAATTTTGTGGTTGTGATTTATGAAGAGGATAGAGAAATGGTGTGAACCATTTAGTTATTTTCTGAAAAGGAATATGAAGCTTATTTTGAAAGAAAGAAAAAAGTGAAAACTTTATATTGGGAGGAAGAGAGCATAAATAATGAAGTATGATTTTTGAGAGCATAAATAATGAAGTATGATTTTTGTAAAATAAAAAAAAGATGTATGACAGCAATAATTTTGGCTTTGGCGGGAAAGCTTCCTTCTCTTTTTTCACCAATGAAATATTTTATTTTTCTTTCACACAAGCACACTTAAAATGAATAAAGTGAGAAGTAGATTTAAAAATGAAAGTTAAGACGATTTTTATGCGAGAGGAGGATAAAGGAGCATACTCGATTCAATTTTAATGTTAGCCCAACCCCAAATTATTTGAACCAATGTTTTACTTTTTTTAATTCACTTTTTTTGAAATGATATGTGATAAAGTGAATTGTATTTTCCTTCTTTTCAGTAAAAGAGTCATTTTTTGACATGTTTTAGCTTTGGTTAAAGAACGGACTAAATCACAATGGCACATCAAACATCCTTTGTTCCTTACTTATTATGATCTTTTGGGAAATAAATGTGTCAATGCATCATCAAAGCGAGGGTTTAATGGAAACTACCTCTCTATAATTTACAGGGGTAAGGTTGCATACATCTTGACTCTCAGGCCCCCAACAGAGTTGGGATTATCCTGGATTTGTTGGTTTGCAAATGCTGGTTCTCAGAATCTTTTCCTTGCTAGCCAAGGTTTTTAGTGAACTCCCTTGGTGATATCACCTTAGGATTTATTAGTTGTTGGTATTAGCAAGGAGTGTTTTTAGTCAGCTCATAGCCTCAGCCAGACATGTAATTTATGTTGAATTATTAGTTGACCACAACAACGTGGTGTTTGATTACAACACATGGGTTCTTACTTCTTAGACAATGATGCGAGTAGTTTTGACATGCTTTTTTTGTTAACAGCATATGCAAGATGAAGACTGGGGCAGGCCACACAAGAAATTCTTGTGAGTGTCGGATCTTTGTGTAATGCTTTTTGGGAGAACCAGAAGCATGTTTTCATCGCATTCCGCCAGGGTGTGAAATTTCTTGTCTATTTACTTTTAATAATGCCGACATCGTTCCAAGACCTGCATTTGTGTGACCATCTAATAAGATTATGTTCTATAATAACAACTTCTCAGTATTTGTACTGCATGGTGTGGTTCTATGGCAATAGCTTTAGGACTTGTTAATTGAGTGAAAGGAATATGGATTTTGATATCTCCGATATCAAAATCTCTTTTGTGGTGTACGTTTGGTGTGAAGTCTGAACAAGGTTAGAGTTTAATATCTCTTGAGTCTTGATATCACACCTCTTTTGTAGTCTTTTTTTGAAGTCTAAACAAGGTTGAGGTTTGATATTTTCTAGTATAACAACTCTTGATATCTTGAATTTGGGAGATATCAATTTATGGTGTTTTGATATATTGCCCCCCTATCGTTGCATTGAAAATTTATACGGGCGTGTTCTAAATTCTTATTTAAGGAAAATTTTGTAATCCAAATGAAGAAGTTAGATAAATTTCCGAATTGAATGCACATAGCGTCGTACACTATATAACTTACTGGCTTGTTAGAACATCTGAACATGGACTGAAGTAATTGGTTTCGAGACTTAGAAGATTTGTTGTTTGGTACGTTGGGGGTAGGAGGATTTCCAAGAAAAGCATACATACGTTTCGGAAAACAAAATTAAAAAAAATTAAGTCAAAACTCTCCCAACAATGATAATCACAAAGTCGATTGCATAGAAATTGAAGGAATATTATTACATAGGAGACTCAGTTTGTTATTAAGGGGTGCGTATTCACAGTTTCTCTATTATTTCTAAAGGGGACTCACGTCGAACATTAACGAGATTACATTCAAGGATAGAACATGCGAACAAATAGAACAAATCCTCATTCTTCTCCTTCTCTTTGCCTTTTTTCTGTCTTCTCTACGTGTTGCCTGGGTCGATACAGAAATGAGAGAGAGAGAGAAAGAGAAGACTATCGAAGGCGCTTGTTTGACTAAAAATCTCTGACATTTTGCGTCTTTTTCTTAGATCCAAGCAATGCATTGTTTTTTCCTCAATTGTGAGAAAGTTTTATGATTTTCTTTAAGGGGTGGTTTGTTGGAAGGTACTTCTTTCTCTTACTATATTTCCCATTTTTTGGCTTTGCCTCTTATTTTGATTTGCTTTGGGTTCTACCGAAAAAAGGAGAGGTGAGATTAATGCTTAAGAAAAAGTGATTTGAGAGAGAGAAAGTGGACAAAGAATGAGTGGTGGAGAAAACAGATCCATTAGTGAGGGCTAGCGCTGGAGTGAAAGAAAGATTTTATTGGTGATTAGGCAACTTTGGTGAATGGGTGAACAAATTGTCGTCGGTTCTAAGAGTATCTGCATTGGAAGGACTACTACATGGAGGACTACCTTTTGACTCTTATGTCCCTCTTCCATATCAGATTTTGTGGACCCAACTCACAACTCACTACCCCCCTAACATCCTCCCTGAACCCCTCACTGTGCCCCCACCCCTGCCCCCATCCTAGACCCCCCTCTTACCCCCTCCAAATGTGTGGCCATTATGCAATTTATAATAGCCACACATTTGGAGGGGGTAAGAGAGGTGTCTAGGGAGGAGGCGCATGGGTTGGAGTAGGGGTGCGCTGAGAGGGATAGGAACTATCAATTTTGCGAACGGAGTATTAAATGAATTCCAAATCAACGAGTGTTATCCATTGATACCGAATACCAGTGTCAACGGAACTTTGCTCATACATGTTCTAACAAACCAGTTCGTTATACTATGCACGCTTGGCATATATATATATATATATATATATATATATATATATATATATATATATATATATATATATATATATATATATATATATATATATATATATATATATATAGGGATTGACTCCAGTCAGATGACACCTTACGGTGAGATGACATGCTACGGTCAGATAATGCAAAGCTCACCACTGGCCACTGCAAAGCTCACCAAAGACAACTACAAAGCTCACCAAACTGTAAGGCAAAGCTCACCATATTTTTTCAACATTTTAAATTTTTTTTGAAAAAAAAAAATCAAAGGAAGAGGTGCTGACTAGACATTGACCATTGACTGTTGACC